ATGGTATGATTCTGATTATTTGGGATATGAAGGGAGTACAACCTGCTGAGGAATTCCTGGGCTAGCCTATGCAAAATGACTTGGCCAAGCTAGGGCAATGAAGAAACAATACAGGGCCTTTGAGGGCCATTGGCTATGCAAAAGAACTGTCCTTCCCCCTCACCTTGAGGTGTGAACAGACACTGGGGATTTCGAAGGTTGCCAGGGTAACTAGGTATGATTTCACAGGAAGAGTTTGGGGCCTTTGGCAGGAGGCTTAGACTAGATGAAAAAGGCCAGAGCGATATTGGCTGGCAGGGTTGGAGAGATCCTTTGGGCTTTTTGCTTCACTGCTGGATGTGTGGGGGAGCCCCACTTAAGGTGACCGTGTTGTAAGATCTGTACTCCCTCTGTACTTACATCTGTACTAAAGGTGTAAATACCGTATGTGTCAATTAAACCATATTTCTAACAGCACGATGGTCTGTGCTGCGTCTTGATTCTCTCTGGAACACATACCCTGGAACCCCCTGGAATCTTGCCATAGTTAGGCAGAGATTGGGTGGGTGTGGTGTCTCACTTTTGTAACAGTTCTTTCCCAGGATTCTGTGCCACTTCCAGCCTGCATGGCACGAGGGCTTTTATTTGTTCGTTTGTTTGCTTCAGAGTCTGGTGGATGTTCTCTTCTGCATTATTTTCTTGCTGGTAGAGGTGAAATACCTGTGAATCTACTTGGACTCTGAAATCATCATCTGATGCCCTTCTTCGTGTATCTCCTCCTTGAGAGGTCAAGAGGGTGGCAACATGAGCACAGATATTTTCTGCATGTCTCCTATTTGTGGCAGTTCGAAAGCACGCAGTGCAAGTAGATAAATAGGTACCGCTCCAGCGGGAAGGCAAACGTCGTTTGCGGCGCTGCTCTGGTTCACCAGAAGCGGCTTAGTCCTGCTGGCCACATGACCCGGAAGCTGCACGCCGGCTCCCTCAGCCAATAAAGCGAGATGAGCGCCGCAACCCCAGAGTCAGTCATGACTGGACCTAATGGTCAGGGATACCTTTACCTTTACCCCAGGGATGCTCACCCAGCATCTTCATTATCCACCTTTAGGTGCCAGGCAAAAACGTTCCTCTGCAACTAGGCCTTTGGCTGATTAACATCCTGCATCCTTTTAAATGTTTTTGTGGGAGGGGGTTATTGTTTTGTTTTTGTTCTTGCCTTTATTATGTATTGTGTGTTTTTATCTAGTATTTTTATGCTGTGAACAACTATCTGTGATCATCAGATAAAGGATGGTATACAAATTAAACAAACAACTAATGATGTGCTGTTTCAAGCTAGACACCAAAAGGGGAAAGATTTCATTGCTTGCTGAGTAAGTATCTCCATCATAAAAGGAAGAAACAAATGCCAACAGTTCTAGGCAAACAAGGCCAGATCCATAAACAAGGCCTTCACACAGTCAGGATTGCTGCACTAAATTAAAAGAACTATCCTAGGCAGCACTGTGTTCTACCAGAACACAACCAGGAAGAACACAACCAGGCAGCCCTCCCGTTATTTGTCCCCAAAATCATGTATTCAGAGGTAAACTGCCTGTGAACATGGAAGCTTTATGTTAATTATCAAAGCTAACATAGCAACCTTGTTGCAGCTCTCTTCCCAGAAATCCTCATTCTTAAGTCCCATTTGTTACAGCTACAGTATCTCATCTTCGCTCTTTGTTCTCCTCCAATAGTGCCAGCATTTGCCAAACACACAACCAGACCATTACTCTTTCCATCCCTCCTTCAGTTCCTTCAGTCTCTCTAGGTATCTTATTTTATTTATTAGATTTATATACCGTATTTTTCACTCTATAGGACGCACCTGACCATAGGACGCACCTTGTTTTAGAGGGGGAGAACAAGAAAAAAAAATCTCCCCCCATCTGCTCAGCGCCCCTTCAGCGAAGCGGCAGAAGAAACGGAGCCCCTTTCATTTCTCCTGCCGCTTCGCTGAAGGGGCGCTGCGCAGAGAGGGGGAGAAATTCTTTTTCTTGTCCTCCCCCTCTAAAACAAGATGCATTCTGTTTGTTCAAGGTGCGTTCACTTCAGGCGGCTGCGCACTGACCCCTCTCGCTCTCCAGGCTTCAGGGAAAGCAACCCGAAGCCTCAGGAGCGCAGCGGGAGTTCCCACTGGGCTCCGGAGGCTTGGGGTTCCTTTCAACCTGCTCTTTGGGGCTGGCGGGGGGGGGGGAGCGCTGCTCAAAGACCACCAACCTCAAAGACCAGGTCGGGGAGCAGTGCAAAGGCTGCGCGCCGCCTTCCCGCTGCCCCCCCGAGCTTGTGGGGCTGGCAGTGGGGGGAAGCGCTGCTTTGCCCCACCGCCAGCCTCAAAGATGCCTGAAGCCTTCAGAGTGCAGCCCAAAGGAAAAATATGAAGAACAGAGGTTTTGACAAATGGTTTGCGTGAGGCAAACGGTGGAAGTCTTTTAAAAATATTTTAATTAAGATAGATAAGGATATAATGTACATAACTGAACATAAATATAGATTGGAAATGACTGTGTATAGTGAATACTTATCTAATTTTACAATTCTCATTCTTGATCTTATTTCTTCCTTTTCTTTATCTTCTTCTTCTTCTTTTCTTTTATATTTTTACCTGTCATTTCTTTTCTTTATTGTGAATATTGTTTTGTAGAGGTGCAAATAATTGTAAATATAAGAAGAGGTAAAACGTTTTCTAATTTTTATTGGTTACATGTATTTTCCTTTTTTTGTATATTTGTATTTTTTTCTAATTTGTACTCAATAAAATTAAATAAATAAATAAAGCTCATCACGTGTCCATCTCCTCGTCCCACTTGGCGGCGTCAGGCAACTTCATGTTTTGTCACATGAAATCAAGGAACATGGAGGCCTGCAGTAACCAGCCCAGCCTCTGGAAGTGCCGTGTATGGTAGGAGAGACTCCACAGCTGCTTTGATCCTATTGCAAGAGGCTCTCTGGCATCTCATGCTTGAGGACGGTTTCCACCACTGCCTGAGCCTCGAGGTAGTTCCGCGAGTTTGTGTTCCACGTGATGGAAAACTTCAACACAGCCTCTGGAAGAAGGGGTTTGGGGAGGACACGTCAGGAAGGAGTGCAAGTTGCAGGCAGCGTGGCCACCTTGAACCAACACACCTCTCTTGCGAAGCGTGGCCAGGTCTGGGCACACATCTGACCTGTGCCTTTCTTCAAGGCAGGGAAGCAGATCCAACACCCCTCCCCACCTAGTAGAAATAATTAATGATGGGAGGGGCGACTGAGTTTATTCCAGACTACATGGCTTGCAGGAATGGGTTTTATAATATTTATAAAAGTACAACAACAATATGCATTATAATCTTTGCTCTAGTATTACAGAGATGGTGGAGCTAATTTGAGGCTGTGTACACACCATACATTAAAAGCATTATCGCTTCTCCCCTGTAAGAATCCTGGGAACTGTAGATTACCCTTCTACCACATAGCTACAATTTGTAGCACCCTTTACAAACTGCAATTCCCAGGATTCTTTGGAGAAATGTGCTTTTAATGCCTGTTTTTCCTGCAGCAGGCATGCTCAGCTACCCCTCTGGAAGCTCAATCCCACAGAAAGCTGTGACGGCCACCAACTCGGATGGTTTTATGCAGGAAAGGCTATCAATGGCCACTAGGCACGATGGCTATGCTCTACCTCCACAGTCAGTGGCAGTAACCTTTGTGAATAGTAGTTGCTGGAAGATACAGGAAGGGAATACAGAATGCTCTTGTTTCCACAGGCCTCTGGTTGGCCACTGTGAGAACAGGATGCTGGACTAGACAGGCCAATGTGGCCTCATCCAGCAGGCACTTCTTATGTCCTTACGTGGTTCAAGGGTAGAGATTGTGAGAAGGCATCTTCCAAAGCAATCCCACCCCGCAAATAGCTTTGGAGCCTTCTTGCCTCTAGCCTAGCCCTCACCCCCTTTTCCTGTTCCCGCTGGAGTCTTCTTTTGCTTGCCACGCCTGCGGGCTCTCTTCCGGCCAACGCTGCCAATGACAGATCTTAAAAACTTGGGGTCGGTGAGATTCGGCAATCGCAGCACCTTGCGCCTGCTGGACCTCCTGAGCGGAGCGGGTTGTGTCTTGCTCCTCGTGAAGTAGGGTGAAATGTGAGGAGTGTTGCAAGTCGGTGCAGAGGCAGAAGTCTGGCCAAGATGGTAGAGCACGGCTTCTCTGTCAGGGGCTTCTTCCTAACCCAGTGGAACACCAGTATCATACGCCTCTTAGATGGGTTGGACATGCTGAAGAAGGTGCTGGAGGCCCAAAGACCAGGGTGACTTCAAAGCGGAGGACGCAGCAGGCAGTTCCCTATCAATGGTGCCAAATCCAAGCAAATGTTAGCTCCAGTCCTGTTAAATTGATCCAGCAATTATGAACGTTAAAGAAGGGATTAATTCCTCAGGCAGTCTGAAAAGACTTTCTGTGGCTTTTGAATAGATGGGAGCCCCCAACTACTGCCACTGTTGACAGCCTGTTGCCCCTTCACTCTGCTTGAATGGGTTATGTCACAATGGTTCCTTCATCAGGTGTTTGTGAGCATGAAAATGCTGTTGGGAGTTTCAGCAATGAAGGCTCAGGCATAACATACTGTTTGAAAGTCTGAACATTTCCTCTTTTTTATTTAACAAAATTTATATACCACTTTTATAATTTATATACAAATTGTTAGGAGAGTAAGTTAAAAATATACTGTAGTTTATTCACTTATAGGCTAGTTTACACACTTTATTCCTTCTTATGCTTCTAGCCCACTTTTCCTCCACAGAGCATACACACTTCAGCCTCCACCTTCTTCATTTTATCCTGACAGCAATATTGTGAGCTAGGGCCATAGCTCAGTGGTAGAACAACTGCTTAGCATGCAGAAGGCATCAGGTTCAGTCCCCAGCATCTCCTAGTGGGACTGGGAGCGCTCCCTCTGCGCTTTGGAGGCTTCGCGTTGCTATCGCTGAAGCCAAGGAGCCTGTATTCGCTCCATAGGACGCACACACATTTCCCCTTAATTTTTGAAGGGGGAAAAGTGTGTCCTATAGAGCGAAAAATACGGTACTACCCTTCATGACAAGATCTCAAGGCGCTTCACAAGATAAAAATATAAAGTAAAAGCATAAATAAATAGTTAAAACAAAAACAACACAATAATGACACACGCACCGCAAAAACATTTAAAAGGCTGTAGAATGTTAATCAGCCAACGCCAGGTTGAAGAGGCACCTCAAGATATATAATGAAGACACCAGACAAATCTCCCTTACACCAGAATGAAACAGATTAAAAAAACCTCAAAGCTATCTAAATTCAAAGCTCATGTTCTTGGATTATGGACTCTAGAATATTCTTTAAGGACTTCCTGACTTTCCACAGAGGACTGTAGGGCAATGAATAGGCAGGTTTAATCCTAACAACTAGGGAAACAGACCTGCAAGTATTCAGTGTATTCAGAAGCCAACATGAACTGCCTGTAGTTTTTTCAGCATGCACTGAGGTGAAATTTGTAGCATTAATCTCTGGCTATCTCTGGACTATTATTCTCCCTAATTATCCATTGCCTTTGTGCAGCTAGTTTCCAATTAGAAATGAAACGTTCTCTCGTCATCAACTACAAGTTCTGGAGTCTGAATCAGAATATGTTGATTCAAGACACTGAGGGATAGCATGAGACTCTTAATCTCAGGATAGTGGGTTCAAGCCTCATATTGGAGAAAAGATTCCTGCATTGCAGGGGTGTTGGACTAGATGACTCTCATGGTCACTTCCACCTCTACAGTTCTATGATTCCATGAAGTATTGAAGCCAACGGTGGGGAACATCAAATTGCAACGGGCTTCACTGGAAAAAAGAAAGGTACAATTTACAGGGAGCATGGAAATACTAACTCTCAGTTAGTACCCTTGCCTTGCAAGGGTAAAATAATTTAAAATGCAGAATGAACATTCCATTCACAGCAGGTATCTAAAAGTCTTTTTTTAAAAAGCAGTAATGAGAAGACATAATCAGTACTTTTGAGGTCACCATCTCTGACTGTGGATACAGAGGACTTAATCTTTATCCTACCATATCTTTAAAAATATTTTCAGCTAGCAGCTACAGAGGACATTCTCAGTTGCTTCTGGAAGAGGACATAATAATGAGTAGAGGAAGGAGAACTCATGGTAATGAGTTCTTCTTCCTGCGCAGATTACCTCAGCATGAAGCCAAGGATAAAAGAAAAAGTGGTGCTGAAGGCTACAGTTATTTCTCAATCAGCGAATTTGCAAAATCTTAAGACTTTCCCGCATCTTTCCAAAAGCCAAAGGACAATTATGAATATCTGAGGTATATATCTTTAAAAGCAACCTGAGTGTTACCCCAAAGAAGCCCTTTCTTTCAGCAGTTTGAACTCCAATGCTACAAATGGGCATCATGGTACCCTCCAAATGTTGTGGCTCAGGTTTATGAGAATTGTAGTCCACAGCACCTGGAGGGCACCACTTTGCCTACCTCTGTTGTCCTGTACTGTTGAAATAAAAAAAAACCCAAATTAATTTAATTTTTAAAAGACAAATAGCTTTTCCTGTTCTCACCTGAATTCCCCGCTGCATCTCTAATAGTGTGAGCCAGGGCTTTTGCCAACTTAGGCAAGGCAAGAGAGACAGAATTCTTCTTTCCTTTAGTTAAATTAAATACTACTGGCTTCAAAGAAACTTTTGGAGGATGTAAACACACAAAAAAGTCTGTCACTCGCTCACTCCATTTCCCTTTAGCTAATACAGCTGTTTTACCCAGGAACTTTTACTGAGACACAACATTCCTAACCGCATCCCTAATTTTAAAACTCTCTGCCTTATACTACTGATGAACAATCTCAAAATTACACTATGAATTAAGGTTACAAATAAGCAGTGATTGTTAAAGGATTATTTTGTTGCCTTCTGTAAATGAAAATGCATTTTCCAGCTTCAGACACAGCATACCAAGACTACTTATAAAATCAGACTTATGCAATAGTATAGTTCTGAATAACTTGACGGTTTTGACTTTCGATATCTTGGCGTATCTTCCTGGATATTTAATCAGGAAAAAATCAAGTACTGAGTAGATTAGACAAAAACATATCTTCCATTCCTGCATTGCGGGGGTTAGACCAGATGACCTTTGGGTTCCTTCCAACTCTACAATTCTATGGTTCTATGATCCTATTCATATCAGAGTTGAGACTTGATAAATATTAAATAGGCATTGTCTTGGGAAATTATGTAAACAAAAACTCAATTTCTTCCTTTTTAACACATCATATGTAGATAGAATCAGGTAAAATTTAAGATACGCAGATACTGACTATATCACAAATCTATGCACATTCAAATCCACAAAATAAACAGATAGTTTCTGTAACTACTAGAACTTCATATTGACTTGTCTTATATGGCTATTGTAAAGATTGCTGTGGACCCTGAAGAAGAACAGATTTAACATTTAAGCCCTGGCATAATGCAAAGGGTCTTACTTTCAATCAGGGCTGACAAGGTGAAGCAACTGCCTCAGGTGGCAGGATCCACAGGGGCCTTTGATGAATGTACTGCCCAATGCTGCTGCCATGATGGCGCTCCTTGGAGGCAGGATCTGGTCCCCCATGCCACATCTACAGTGGTCTCTTGGTGACTAAGAGGCACTGCTGGTCTCCTCCACCCTTGCCCCCAATGTGGATCTTTGTTCCCCCCTTGCTCTCAATGTAGATCTTCACTTACCCCTTCTTGCCTGGCAAGAGGAAGATGCCATTTTGTGGTTTCCCTCAGGTGACAAAATCTCTTGGGCCAGTCCTGCTTTGGACACATGGTACACAACAGTTTGGTCAATTGCAATAACAAAAGAATTAAACTAATCAAATGAAAGTTACTCAAGGCAAGTCAGCTCACTTTTCCTTTTACAGTATGGCTACCAGATTTTTTTCAATGAATCCAGGGACACTTTTTTTGGAAGCTGAGTAGCAACAGGGAGTCAGTAGTGGGGATAGTGAGGCAAAAGACCCTGAGCCCAAGCACACATGCATATTGTATAAAGGTGCAAAGCCCTTCTTTCGCAGCCTGTGAAACATAAATGCTGTTTTTTTTAAACTGGGCAACAGCGTACTGCCCGCCCATGACTCCCGAGCCTCCCCTGATCTTCTGCCCCCTTCCTCCTTTGTTTGACTGATCAGGGGAGGCTCAGGAGTCACAGGCCGGTGGCTGTTGCCCAGTTTTTTTAAAAAAATCTCCGCATATTTATGTTTCACAGGGTGCAAAAAAAGGGCTTTGCACCTTGCCTGGCAGAGAAACCATGCGCCTGGGCAACACCCGCCCGTCCGCCTGTGACTCCCAAGCCTCCCCCGATCTGTCAAAACAAAGGGGGAAGGGGGAAGGAGATCCCTGGTTCCCCTTCGGCAGTGGCAGAGGCAGCAAGCAGCTCCTGAAGCCAGCCAGAGCCAACTGCACTACCAGGCTGGCTCCAGCTGCTGAGGCTGCCACTGTCACGTTTCCCGGGGACAGATTTGCAAATCTGGGGACATTCCAGGGATGGAATTTGTCCAGGTACAGATTTGCAAATCCGGGGACTGTCCCTGGGAACCAGGAACGTCTGGTAACCCTATTTTACAGCACTTGGTAACCGTTTCTAGACTGGGTGAAAACAGAAGACCACAAAAGATCACCACCACACTTTCATTTAAGCTTGTAGAATGGTTTCTTGAATTAAGCCAATACAGATATATGGAACATTCTTAACTTTTATTCTTGTAGCATGTTGTGTCGACTAATATGTTGTAATGTTCTTTGTTGGTTGTATAATTATGTTGACCTAAAAATGACTAAAAACATGTATATAAAAAACAAAAGCCCTGGCTGGATCAGGCCCTTGGCCCATCAAGTCCAGCATTCAGTTCACTAGCGGCTGCCAAGGTGCCTATGGGAAACCCACAAGCAGAACCTGAATGCAATAGTCAGCGCTTTTCCTGCTTGTGATTACTAGCCATTGGTATTCAGAAGCATATTGTCTCCATCAGTGGAGGCAGCCATTGTGGCTAGTAGCCTTATCCTCCATGATTTTTTCTAAACCCCTTGTCAAATCCATCACTACATCTTGTGGTAGTGAATTTCAAAGTTGAATTTCAGTGTTTGTGGAAAGTATTTTGCTTTGTCTGCCATAACTCTTATGTGTCTATCTGATTACTAGAAATATGTATCTACAAACACACACATATGATTACCACATTCACCCTTAGCCAAATTTCTCATGCTGGTTGGGTGTTGCCATTTAACACTCTTACACAGCTCCTCAGCTTACCCAAGTGAAGGGTTGTTACTTCATCCTGGCCATCAAATGATCAGCCTGATGATCATGGACTTACATTGGGGTGCTGGGCTTGGTGGAGAGGTTTAAATCTGCCCAACCTGGTGCAATATATTTGCCACCAAGATCTGTGGGGTCATATCTTATGGGGTGCAGGAAAAAAAAAATCCTGGGAGTGGGGCATCAGACCTGTGCCAGGGGTTATTCATTCCTACATTATATAAATACTACTAATAATAAAAATCAACAGCGTTATCACTCATTGTTATAAGAGAGAACTCTACAACTACGTCACATTTCAGCAACTTGCACAATGTCGAGATCAGATATATAACAGTGAAATAAATCCACACACTGTTTAAAATCCGTATCCCTCTGGAAGGGGGTTGCCATGTTGTGGATGCACGACCTGACGGCGCTACGGCCGTCTGAAGAGATAATACATGGCAGGGAATGAAGACGACAAAATCTCTCAACCTGGCCTACCTCGCAGGGCAGTTGTGAGGACAGACGAAGAGGGGGGGATACGCCTTCGCACGCCGCCCTGCCGATTAAAGTGAAGCGAAGCTGCTAAATAAAACTCTTCCCTGCAGGCGCTGCTCGCCATTTCCTCTGAGGCGAAGCGGCAAGGGAAAGAGACACACACACCCCGCTTCCGGCGCCATGATTTCCATCTCACGAGGAGACCCCGTGTAGGAAAGAAGGGAGGCGAGCATCGTATGAACAAGCTGCGCTCTTCGCAGCCTGGGGAACGGCGGAGCCGAGCATTGCCGCGGCGGGAGGTGAAGGCGGTGCGCGGAAAGCAGGATAGGGGGCGGCAGAGAGGCCGCGGCTTCGGCCGGCCTCCAACCTTGGCGAGCGAAGGGGGGGGCGCGTGAAGGGACAGGAATACACGCCATTGGGGACGGGGAGAAGTTCAGCACCCTCGGTCGGAGGAGGGCGGCAGAGAGGCCTGGGCGCCGTGGGGTGAGCTGTCTCGCGGAACTCCCCGCCTCAGGATTTCGGCCTGGTTCGGAGGGGTGGGGGTGGCCAGTGAGCGCACCGGGGGCAAGAAGTACAAGGGGGTTGGGCTAGATCAGGGGCGTAGCAACGGGGGTGCGGCCCGCAGCAGGTGCCAGGCTGAAGGGGGGGTATCATTTGGCGCGGGCCCCCCACCGCCCGCGAATCCCCCAAACCCAGAGAGTGGCAAATCGGCTGCTGCCGCTCTCCCCCTTCCCTCGGCTCGCTGTAGGCTTGGGAGTGGTGGGGGGACTCGAATGTCACTCTCCTTCAGCCTGAAAAGGGGGGGTCCATATTCGGCCCATAGCTGTCAACTTTCCCCTTTTCTTGCGAGGAATCCTATTCGGAATAAATTTCCCTTTAAAAAAGGGAACGCTTGACAGCTATGATTCGGCCCCCGCTCCCGCCCGCGACTCCCCATGGGGCAAGTGAGGTGGTCTTGCCCAGCCATAGGATCTGCTGGGAGAGGAGTGTACCAACGTCCGGAAATGGGTGGGGAGGCCAAAGCCAAAACGAGGAACTGAAGCAAAAGCTAGTCAGTGTTACCACAGCTTTAAAGCAGAAAGCTTCCTGGGGCGAATAAGCTCAATAGTGGCTGGGGAAAGAGCGGGCATCCCCCGCACCATGATCTGCTAATGGTACGGTCTGAAGAGATTGAGTCCCGCGCATGCGGGAGAGCAGAAACACGGAAATAAGAGAAGTAAAGAGTCAACCCTAGGAGCTTCACTTCCCTTGCGCTGTGTTCGCGGCTGCTCTTTCCTCTCCTCAGCCATCGCACTAGAGGAGAAGGTTGGGGGAGCCAGGCTGCAAGCTTATGCACACTTCCCCGCGAGTAAACCCGGTCGAAGTTTGTTAGATTTCCTTGCTGAGTAAACATTGTTTGGGGCTGCGCTGATCATAGTCCCCAATTTAAAAGAAAGAGCCAGGATAGATAGCTTTCTCCTATTTTCCTTAAAGAGAACTTAATGCACCTTTACCAAGTGCATAATGACAACAACCCCCCCCCCCACACACACACAAAACCAGCTGGAGGCGGAGGTTCCCCAGCCTGTACGTGCTTCACCTAAATTTCGTATTGTGCTGCTGCTGTCAAAAGTACAAGCGCCCATCCCTTTAGTAAACCTACTTTTGGCTAGTGCCTTGTGATGGCTTTGTGGTAGCAGATCTTATAACATTTCTTTTTAAAAAGAGAAACGGCACCCCAGTGTCCCCCTTCAACCAACCAACCAAAAGTAAATATTCCTGCAGAAAGATGCATATTATAAAAAGCAAACCATAGCTGTGTCTATAGGAAGAATATTCCAAGCTCCACAGTTGGGTAATAACCTTTATTAGGGTCAACTTCAGAAGCCTCAAAAAAGGGGGCAAGCTTTAGAATTTCCCAGATAATTTATGGAGAACTTAAAAGCACAGTTTCTGTGACACCCCCCCCTTATTATTTTTTTTAAACGGTCTTTAAATGGCTTGCAACTTCCTAGCTGAAACAGGGTTTCAGGTCTGACGGGAGTTGGGAGTTGAGCTGAGGAGGGGGCAAAAGGAAAGGTTTTGTGGGAGCTCCTGAAACAGCGGTCGGAGGAGTTGATGCATGTGCGGAGAAGGAAAAACACAGGGAGAAAGAAATGGCAGGGGGGAGCAAGCTGAAAACAAAGAAAAAATTGCAAATAGAAAGCAGTGAGGAGTCATGGCCAGGGAGGAAGTGACAGCAGGTCATGAGCTATAAATATTTTTAGTTAATAAAAAGGAGTGTTCAGGATGCTACTGGTGTTCTCTAGACAGCTATTTTGGGGTGGAGGACAAAGTCCAGCGGGGGCACCTGCTTCCTCCCCCCCCCTCCACCAATGCTCTGCTTGTGGGCTCCCCAGAGGTGCGAAAACAGGATGCTGGCCTCTTGCTGGGACACCTCAGATGAGAGAGGGAAGGGGAAGAGGAATTAGAAGTCAGGCTAGGACCTGGGAGAACCAGGGTTCGAATCCCCACTCAGCCATCAAGCTGCCTGGATGACCTTGGACCTGTCTCTCAGTCAACCTTGCAAGGTTGTTGTTGTGAGTGGGTGGGGAGAACCATACAGGCCACTGTGACCTTGCAGAAGGTGGCATATAAATGTAAATAGTAAAAAAATAAAATAAAGGGTCATCCCTCTTTGCATGATTTCCCTCTCCCTCTGCCCAACTTCATCTCGGACTCATGAAAATATTACAAGCAAGAGTGCTCACTTTTTCTTCAGTAACTACAACCAGTCCTGGCACATCAAGATTCAGGGAGGAGGGTTAACCCCTAGGTGAGGAGGCCGAGCAAATCGGAAGTCGCTTGAAGGCACCCACAATACGTTTCTTTCGGAAACCCGAGCACCAAGTTTACCCCATCTCCATTTCTATTTATTATTATTATTATTATTATTTTAATTTGTTAACTACCCTTTGCTCTAAGGCTCTGGGCTGGGTTGCAGCCATTTAAAATACAGTGTTAAAGCAATTTTAAAATTACAGTCAGTAAAAATAAAAAGAAACAGTAGCATCTTATAAAAAATACCATTGCTGGGCTTTATTGGAAAAGGTTCTGTTTTGCAGGCGTTAAAATAGTTAGGTGTAGAATGTGATTCTATGCATGATTATTCAGAAGCTAGACCCCGTATTAGTACTAATGTCTTATTAAAACACCTGAAGCTGCTAAAAGAATGAAGAATCCAGGACCACTTTAACAAATTTATTTAGGGGTCCACATGGCACCACCATAAATGCTAAGTCATCTTTCTGATGCTAAACTAAAACTTGATGGATTATGATTAGCTTGATAATGGCCTATTTGATGAAATATTCTGTAGGGAGGGGGTTCAGATGGGCCTGTTTATGGATTATTGAAATGGTGTTACTGAAATGTATTGTTACAGTTTTGTGCTACACATTTGTGCCTTAACTTTTTTATAAGTTGTTTAGAGATTTCTTGCAGTAAGTGACTAATAAGTCATATAGGTAGCAATACTAATATTCAAAATGTTTTAAACATTGGAGTAAAATGACTATGGGATGTATAAAATATAGGCTGAGATTATTATGCAATTATTCAACAGAATTTGCATGCCAATTAATTGTAAAGAAAATCTCTTAAGTGGATGAGTTTAAAGTATGCAACAAAAACACAGTGATCATTCACAACAAAAGTAATTAGTGATAACATAATCAGCCTTAATTTGCTATGTTAATTAATATATGTAGTTAGATAGAAAACCACTACATTTATAGCTATAGATATAGACGTGATCTTCTTTTTTAACAATATTTTTATTCATTTTCAAGTTGCACATCACACATAAAACATAACAAACAACACAATAACTACATTGCTTAAAATATCAAATCAGATTCTTACAGTTCACGCCAAAAAAACTTCCCACATATTACCATGAGATATCTGGGGGTTAAAAACATAGTCTTCTCAGTTAAGTTTGGGAGGGGGGGCTGTTGCCATTGGACAACAGCCCCACGCCCTTGCCCCTGTGGCTTTTTGGAAATCAGGGACCTCTAGCAGCCTAGGTGCTATGTAGGGAGCTCGCTTTCCCCTCCGGAACCAGCCCGACCACCCAGCCCAGACAGGCGGGGAAAGCACTGGATGTGCCCAGACATTGCTGGCAAGACGCAAAGGTGCCTTTGGAGACTGGGCCAGCTCCACTGGGCGGGGGTGACAAAAAAAATTCTGCACTGGGTACCACCTGACCCTGCTACACCTCTGAGCTAGATGACCCATCAGGACCCCTTTCAACTCTGTGATTCCATAATTCATTAACTGCTTCCTGCAATGCAGGGGGTTGGGCTAGATGACGCTTGGGACCCCCACTCGCTCCCTTCCCTCTACGGCAACTCCCTCCCTTCCAGCCCTGCTCATGGCTGCAAAGAAAAGCCATGGGTTAGCCAGGTGAGGTTTAGTCCGTTTCCATAACTGGCAACTCACACTCTGGTGTTAAAAGGTGGAGGAGGTGTGGAGGGTGGCAAAGGCAAGTGCATCATGGGCTTAGGAAGGAGGCTTCACTCAGACAGAGAAAAAGGAACTGCTCCTTAGGAAGCATCCTCTCTAAAACCTCTTCCTTGTGGGGATTAGTTTTAGTTCCCAAATTGCATAGTAGTAGCCCTGGGCTGCTTGGCCCTTTGATTAGTTCTGTTTTCCCTCCTGTAGAAACTACGCAAGACCCTCTCCTTTAAAAGTTTACAACAACTTCCCAAGTGTCAAAAAAAGGTTATTTGTGTATGCTATTACTGCAGCCTGTGTTTTCTTAGCCAAAAATGGAAAACGAGCGAGGTCCCAACTAAAGGAAGAGTGGCATCTTAAGTTGACGGAATATGCACAACTCACAGATTTAACAAATAGAATAAGAGAACAGGAAGAACATACGTTTAGAGAAGATTGGAAATATGGGAAATATTGAATATATGGGGGGGGGAATTGTGTACACTTGAAAACGTTGGCAGCATTAAGATAAATTCAGCGGTGTAAATAGGTTTTGAATACTGAATGGTTTAGTTTTTGTAAAAATAAAAAAGCAGGGATTTATGATATGCAAAATGAACCATGGAAAGAGAAGAAGGGAAGGTATTTTAAGGATGTTTAAAGCAGTGTTCTAAATTGTAAAAGAAGAAAATTTACACACACACACACACACACACACACACACAAATAAAGTTTAAAACAACACCTGACTTTTACTTAACGTACTTGCAGCTGCAGAGTAAATAGGTGAATTGCTAACCGGTCTTTCCATAGCTGTCAACCTTCCCTTTTTTTGCGGGAAATCCCCTTATTCCAGCGCCGTTTCCTGCTGCTATCCCGGATTGTTAGATATCTCGTAGACTGTCCCCAGGACAGGTGAGGCTGCTGATCCCTTATTTTCGAGGCTGCTGATCCCATATTTTCAAATCTGAAAGTTGACAGCTATGTCTTTCGTAGATTAAAGTGTCACAGACTAACTGACTCTGAGGCGGCACAACAGAACATCACCTGCTGCTCTAACTGCTAAGATGTAACTGCCATAACGGTTCCAACTGCCGCAGGGTGTATGACATCACAGGGTTCTGCAGCTCTTGCGATTAAACCTTTACACATACATTTTGGACGCCAGCCTCCTGCCCCCCGCACTTCTGTGCACATGGGACTAAAATGGTCAGCAAAGGGTCTGCTTTGCAAGCCAAGGTGGGCTGGAATGACAGCTATTTGAAATACTGTGCTGTGTAAAATAAGAAGAAGGAGATTCATGTGGTAGTTGAGGATCTCTGTGGCGTCGCTTAGGGCACGCCATTTTAGCGGGCAAGACATAGCTTTAGCAAATGTCCTCAGTGAGAAGAGGTCTTGAAAACATGTTTTTGGGAGTGAGGAGTCCGAATGTGCTGCTATTTTTGTGATTTAGACAGCATTTCACTTGGTAAACCTACAATGGAGGAAGAAGCCCATAAACTGCTTTCAGAAACCGAATAATTTCAATTTCATCTTCTGAAAAGTCAGGTAGTGCTTAATAATAATTATATTGCTACATAATATAACTGCAACTATTTAGCAATCATTTTTAATGTTTTCTAAACAATTTTACACACATTTTACTTACAAAACTAAGTTACATTAATTCAACTGAAATATATTTTGAATTCCCAAGTCATGTTGCAGCTTTTAAGCACCCCTCATTTTTTGAATTTGGCAGGCAGATTCATGCAATCCCTGAACACTTGCCGAGAGAGAATATGTGTTCCTTATTCTGGTTTTAAATTGTTTGTTTGGAAATAAAGGTGATGCAAGAAAGGACTAAAGAAGTAAAGAAGAATGAAGTTTCCCTGCCTTTCCTTCCGGCAACCTTATGCTGGGTTGGTTTTAAACGAAGTAAAAACAATAGAGACCCGTTGGCGACCATTGCTGGCCCAGTACGAGTCCTGTACCATTGCTGTCCACATTGCTTTTAAAGACTGGGACGACAAAGCCTGGAAAGACATCCTCACAAACAGGCTTGGCATGACAGTGACTAAAATTGAAGAGCTATTGGATGCAGGTGAAAGGTTTGGAAGAGGTGTTGTGGCAGGTAAGTGACAGTGGCTCAACTTTTAAACTTCCAGTAGACATGAAATGCTGACTTTGTAGAGTACAGTCATACCTCGGGTTGAATACGCTTCAAGTTGAGTGCGTTCGAGTTGCACTCCACGGCAACCTGGAAGTAACGGAGTGCGTTACTTCCGGGTTTCGCCGCTTGCACATGCACAGACACTCAAAATGACATCACACGTATGCGCAGAAGCGGCGAAAAGCGACGTGTGCGTGCGCAGACATGCCGTCGCTAATTACATTTGCTTCTGGATGCAAACGGGGCTCCGGAACGGATCCCGTTCGTATCTAGAGGTACCACTGTATTATTATTATTATTATTATTATTATTATTATTATTATTATTATACTTCTGCCCACCCCAGTCTAAAGAATCTGCTCATATTCTATCATGAGGATGGTGAAAGTACATTTGGGAAAGTATATCCTGCACAGAACAAGGGGAAGGGCAGAGAAACTGGAAGAAGGTTAATCAAATGGTGGGTTGTTACTGCAGGACCTTTCAAGGCTATGGCCATAAAGTAGGAAGCAAATGAGCTAAGACATCCTAGTCCCCTAGTAAATATTCAGGTTACCTCCCTGAATAAAAAAAAAGAAAAATTAACTTTTGAGCCCTTTTACTGATGAAGATTCAAGGAAAAGCATGCAATCTGTATTTTAGCCAGTTGCACACTGAATTTAAAGTAATACACTTAAGTTCTGTATTTTATAAGAAACTTAAAGAAGGCCTTTTGTCTTACCTAGCAAGGCTCATTTACCCTGCTGCCACAGTGGCTAACCAGACTGAGAATCCACACGAGTGCAATAACACTCCCCTGTTTGTGATCTTTCTAATCCTCTCTTGAAGTTTCCCAAGCTGGCAACTAGTGCTACATCTTGCGGTAGCAAATTTCATAGTTTAGGCATGTGCTGCATGAAGATGCACTTCCTTTTTGCCTGTCCTAAATCTCCCCAAATTTAGCTTTATTGGTGTCGTTAGGAAACTTGGCCATTCTGTTGCTTACACCTAACTCCTGATCATTTATGAACAAGTTTAAAAAGGCACTGGTCCCATAGCACACTGCCTCCCTCTATTGTGAGGACTACCTATTTATTCCTACTACTCTGTGCTTCCTGTTCTTTAACTACCGGTAGTTACTGATCCACAATAGGACCCACTCCCTTATCCCATGACTGCTAAATTTACTACAAAGGCTCTGGCTGGAAGCACCACCATTTGTAGCAGGATACAAAGAGGACCAATGGTTTCTATACTCCTCTCATACAGACTAGTAAATAGGTTAAAGAGGGGAAAGGAAGCACTGGGGGAATGTCACAAAGCAAAGGAAAATGCGTGAGAGAGCTGGAACTATAACGCAAATACCAATTCCCCCATCTGTTGGCCTATTGGGTATCTACTTATTGTGAGAGCAAGCAACTTTTCCATCTGTAGGGTTCCATTTATGGAGTTTGTTCCTTGCGAAGGCTCATGTGGTGTCCACACTGTTATCGTTTAGATTCCAGGAGAAGTCGGCCCACCCAGATCTTTTTAATCTCCTTTATCTCCTGACTTTTTAAAGTTTGATGCTGTCATTAAGCATTGTATTCTTCTTTCTCTTATTACTGTATTTTATTACATTCTGTAAACTGCCCCAAATGCTTCAAACTGAAGGGCAGGATAAAGTCCTGCAAATAAAAATAAATAGGCCAGTAATTTCATTTTTTTAGGAAGAAAATTATAGCAATATTTGTGTTTGAAATACAGGACTAATTGACATTGGGGAGACATCACAGTGCCCAGAACTCTTGCCTCCTGAAGACATTTTGGTACTAGAAAATAAAGCCATCCTCTCAGGCCTGGAGCAGAAATACCTGACCGTTATTTCAAACCCCAGATGGTTGTTGGAACCTATTCCTACACGAGGACGCAAAGATGTCTGGCAGGTGGACATCCCAGAGGAACTGATTCCTTCTTTGGACTACTCCTGAAGATATTTTTCTTTATGGTCCCTTAACTCTACATTTTCCAAGCTACTGAAGTGGAATAATTTTCTTCTACTGACCTTAATGTAGACCACTATTATAAAGTGAGCAAGTGCCTTATACCTTGGTGTTATCACTCTTGCAAATGGAGAACATTAATGGAATAGTTGGGGTCACCAGTAAAAGTATGCTTTGTTGAAGCTTCTTAGATGTGGATTGTTGTGAATTATCCATCTTAGGTCCAAGCTATCTGAAAGACCGTATCCGCCCACACAAACCTGCCCAGATGTTGAGATCTTCATGGGAGGCCTCTCTCTTTGTTCTGCCACCTTCACAGGCTTGCACAGGAGGGGATGTGGTGGAGGGCCTTCTTGGTGGCTACTCCCAGACTTTGGAACTCCCTTCCTAGAGAAGCTAGACTGGCTCCCTCCTTGTTGTCCTTCTGCCAACAGATGAAAGACGTTTTTGTTCCAACAGGCTTTGGGAAACTGACTGCTTTTAATGAAAGGGCTGGTGCCATGCCGTTTTTCTGTAATTATTGGCATGTTTCAAACAGGTCTTAAATACGTATGTAGTTTTAATTCTATCATTGTTTAATTGTAGTTTAATAATTGATTTTCCTGTTTTTAATGGTTCTTGTTTTTAACTGTAAACCACCTTATGTTCCATCAGGGGGGGAAAGAGGAGTATAAATAAATATTAATCATCATCATTTACATGCACATTATGGAATATTAAACACTTTTTCTTAATTAAGTGAAATAAACAGATCATCAGTTAATCCCATTCCCTCCCCCAGAGCTTTCACTCTTAATTCCTCTGCTCATATTGGGTCTATGGTCTCATCACAAATGGCTAATCCATGCCCTCCATCCCTTTTTAGTAAACTCATTTAAATGCTCCATTCAAGTCTTCCTCACTACTTTGCAACTGCCCTTTCAGCTTCCTATGCCCCTTGTGCTATTTGTGGATGTAATGCTGTACACAGTACTATGCTTCTATAGAAATGAATCCTGTTACAGTGGTACCTCGGGTTACATACGCTTCAGGTTACGTACGCTTCAGGTTACAGACTCTGCTAACCCAGAAATAGTACCTCAGGTTAAGAACTTTGCTTCAGGATGAGAACAGAAATCGAATAGCAGCTGCGCAGCGGCAGCTGGAAGCCCCATTAGCTAAAGTGGTGCTTCAGGTTAAGAACAGTTTCAGGTTAAGAACGGATCTCCGGAACGAATTAAGTACTTAACCCGAGGTACCACTGTACTTAGAAATGCTATGGATGTTTATTAAACCTGCTAAGGAGGATGTGGTCTACTTTTCTTTAGATCAGGGGTGGGTAACTGATAACACTCCAGTTGTTCCTGGGGTAGAGTTCCCATCACACCTGGCCAGGAGTCATCCTGGCTGGTGCAGATGGGAACTGGAGTCCAGCAACATCTACAGTGCCAAAGGTTCACCATCCTTTGTTTTATTATGCTGCTCAGCCACACTCCCTTTCCCCATAGGTCAGTGGTGGGCTCTGCTATGTTGACCAAGACTAAGGATGACAGGAAATGCCACCTCAGCGACCTTGGCAGCATAGGGATGTAAAGGTATTTCTGCTTCTGCCTTCAATGTGATGTTTTATTCTAAGAATGTTTGGCAGGTCACTTGGGCCTCTCAGAGGTATAAAGTGAGATTTTTTAGCATTCTGAATTTTCTTTGGGCCATTGCATTTTTAGTGTGCACGTATAAAATCATCTATGTAAAAAGCATTTATGAGTTATGACAGCTACTTAAGATTCACATGGATTGCACCATTTTTAGAACTCCCCTACTAATTGAAATTGAAATACTTTATTGTCACTTGTACAACTTGTATACAGTGAGATTACCCGAGCACCCCCCGCTCAGCTCTCTTAATTCCCCTCGTTTACTGACACTCACCCACATTGTTTTCCTCTGCAAAATGAGCTACAGGACTCTGCAGCTCCCAGCCCGGAGAACTACATTTTGGCACTTGGGCGAACCACAAAATGGCGCCTTCCCTCCCCACCAGAAAAGAAAGGGTGATTGAAGATAGACATCAGTATCTGCTGCCCTGTGAATCCTGCTGCCTAAGGCAGTCGCCTCACTTTGCTTCATGGGTGGGCCAGCCCTGAAGTGAGCCCTGGCAAGCAAAGTATTTCAAAAAGTGATTATATCCATTCTTTCCTTCTTTCTACTAATTCTGGACATCTTAAAAGCTTGTTACATCTACAGGTAGATGTTAATATTTAACAGTCCAACTGCTCTTTTAGAATATGACAAATTATTATCTATGCTTTAATATTGCTATGTAATTTACTTGCTGTTATTGTAATTTTGATATAATGTGGCATCCAGTGTACCGGTACTTCTGAAATACTCCACAATAAAAACAGTAGCTACATTTCAATACAGTACCGTATATGAAAGTAGGATTATTAGAAACACTGGTTTTTATTTCAAAACATTTGTTGTTGTTCTTCCAGACATGTATTTGCCCAATTATCTAGAATCTAGATCTCATAACAGAAGCTGGCGCCATGACAGAAATCTGAAGCAGTTTATAGATGAATGTCAAACCTCATAATGAACCCACAATATATTATTTATTATTGCATCATATTAGGATCTTGGGGGGGGGATTCTGTTTCGTTGAGTATCTGCACAAAAGAGTATATATTTAAAAAATATACAAAATAAACACATGAAAGAATTAAGTAACAAACATGAGGCTTTCACTATAAAGCAAAATGCCGCTTTAAAACTGGCTGAAAACTACCACAACGGTTTCTTTCACGTCTTTTGTGACCTTAACATGTCAACTGTGCAGCAGTGAATGTGGCAACTTCCCTGGCTTTTTATAAAATCCAATCATTGGTTATTCAACGTCAGAGCTGGCTTCTCATGCTAAGTATTTGCTTAGGTTGGGGATGAGAGAAGAAGGCCCATATATGATGTGTTCCTTTACTATTTGCTTGGATGCATATTTATTCTAGCGCCATTTAACAAAAAAGAAGGTGGAGAGCAAATTTCAAATTCCTTCAACAGGTACAGGAACGGCACACTAAACTCAAACCCTTTAAAGATTCTAACTATCCTGTCTTTGATCCCTTCATAATAGAGCTTCTCAGCATTGCAGGTGCTGACCTGTTTAACTGCAATACAAACATGACAAACTGAAATGAGCAAACTATAAATATGGCTATAAATGCAATAGTGGGTAATAATAAATGAAGTTTTAAAAGTTGGACTTGACATACCAAATGTAAAGGAGCTTCTTCAACTACTGGCACTGATGTCCTTCACAGGTTTAAGTAGGCAATAACTCTGTCCCATGGTGGTTTCTCCTTTTGGAGATGATTGATTAATTAATTAATTAAATTTCTATACCATCCTTCATCTGAAGATCGCAAAGTAGTTTACAATATAGAAACAAAAAAGTAACATAGTAAACAAAAACACACACCCCACAGAGAGTTTAAAAGGCCTTAGCCAAAGTCCTGCTTAAAGGGAAACATTTTCACCTGCTGCTTAAAGATATGTAATGAAGGTGCCAGGCGAGCCTCTCTGGGGAGAATATTCCACAAGTGGGGAGCCACTGGAGAAAAAGCTCATATTTGTGTTGCCACCCTCCAGACTTCTCATGGAGGAGGCACACAAAGAAAGGCCACAGAAGATGATCTCAGGGTCTGGGTAGGTTCATGTGGAAAGAGGCGGTCCTTGAGGTATTGTGGTCCTGAGCCATTGAGGGCTATGTAGGTCAAAACCAGCACTCTGAATCGGGCCAGGAAACTAATTGGCAGCCGGTGCAGTCAGGCCAGGATTGGTGTTACATGCTCAAACTGTCTTGTCCTGGTGAGTAACCTGGTGGTTGAATTCTGCACCAGCTGAAGCTTCCAAACCGTCCTCAGAGTCCATCCCACATATAACATGTTCGCATAGCAGCTATTTTAATACACACCAGACCACGCCTTTTGACTGTTAACTAGAACTAACACACTCTTCTCCCCCACCCCACCCCACCCCTCGTATCGTATTATTTAATTCAACATGTCATCTAACATGTCAATGAGGCCAACGCCTGTTCTTCTGCTCTGTTGGTTTGTAGCAGTTATCATTGACTCTGCTGAACTCTCAGTGTACTTTATTTTGGTGTAGAAGATGCTTATTGCAAACTTATCCTTTTTTGTTTTTGATTGCATATCAAACAAAACATGTGAAAGGTTTACAAAGGACAGTATTGAATGAGAGATAATTCAAGTGTCTCCATCAAAATCTGCCCTCTCCCAAAATAAGAGTGTGTTAAGTATACCTGGCAAAGCCATTCCTTCTTAGGTTATAGTGCTACTCACTCATTTTTAGAACTTCAAAACCATCTTGGCCACATGTTTTCTCATGCCATCATAAAGCATGAGGTGTTCCTATTTTGCTTGGGCTGTATAGTTCAGCTAATGCATTCCTTATGGTGGCAATCCACTTGCTTCAAATACTCCCATTGGATGACAGAGAAAACTCCCAAGTAAGTGTGCATTACAGTTTTCATCTGCAGGAACAGCAAAAAGCTGGCAACCCCAAAAAATTTACTATTATCCTACTATTCCCCTTTTAAAGTCTACACTTCACACAATTAGACCATTGTAGGAAGCAAGTTACTCCTAATCCCTCTATGATGAAATACAGTTAACCTAGGTAGACAAGACAGGAGGAAAGGAAAGAAAGAGGTTTTATTCTTCAGTCCACGTCATTCTGATTTTCTCTATTTTAAAAAGGGGTGGGGGTTTTCCAGTCTGCCCTCTGTTTCATCGATGGTAACCACTGTAGTCTGCCGCTTTGGGTCCAGCTCCTTTGGAAGCAGAAGTAGCATTTGAAGCACAGTTGCAATTAGGGCAATGGTGGTATGAAGGAGTTCGATGATGGGAAGATCTTGACATGGAAATGGCAGAAGCCGCTGCTATCATGGGCATGGAAAACCATGGGTTACAGAACGGGAGTAAACTGGCCCAATGAGCCTGCATGGCAGATAAGTCTGGGTACATGGTTGGGAAGGCTGGCAACCCCATCACCGGTGCAAAGGGGCTGTTGGGTACAGGAGGTATGACATGATACAAAGAGGTAGCAGATGTAGTGGTGGTCGAGTCTATCTCATGTGTGTTGACTCGAGCATGATTGGCGTGCTGGGGCAAATGGAAAGGAGCTAGCTGGTTCACTTTGTTGTCATTGTCCTCCGGGGCTGCCTGCTCAGAGGACCTCAAAGGGGTTGGAGGGGAAGCAGCGTATCCACTTCTCAGCCGGGCTGCTGCTCCAGCAAGGCCCTTCGGCATAGTAGGTTTTCGGAGTCCAGCTTTGTGCATTTTGTCCTTTGGGGAAGCTGCAAGGAAGTTACTTTCCCTAGTAGCAGGTCCCAGAGTAGTTTGACCTTCTGGGCTTCTTGACCTGCTCTTCAAGCAGCTTTCACTGAAGTCCTCATCTAAGGAGAAAGCAATTGGTGGTGTGTTTTTGATCCCAACTCTTCTCTTGCACCTTGCAAGAAGGTGAGGACAGCCTCTCTTAAAATTTGGGTTGTGGTAGAACTGTAACTAGAATAAAAACAGAGGAAGAGATGGAGTTAACATAAGGTTTCAAAGAGAAATGCAACAGCGAAGCAATGCAAAATGACAGTCTCCATTGTGTATGTTTCAATTTTCACACAATGGCTCTGAAATGTGGGATTTTGCATTCTACATTCAGTTCTGTAATCTTATAATTATGAACTGAGTTGGTGGAAACTGGCATAGAGTTTGCTGCAAAGCGGGAGGAAGGAATTTGGTGGCGCACACGTCAGCATAATGCCTTTGGGAGGCTTAATAAAAGGAAACAGTAGCTAAGTGATATATTTTCAAAACTTGAGTACAGATCTTGTTAAATGTACTATGAGCTCAGAAACTACAAAGGGAGTGGATGTATTGTTCTGAAGAATCTAGACTTAAAATCCAGAATATAGTAGAGTATTAATGGAAAAATAAGGTTAAAATGTGTTAAGATAATTATAGGACAGAAAACAGGGGAAGATGGAAAGGAATTGCTGAAATAATTAATAGAAGTGGAATACAAAAAGGGAGGTGTGAGGAGGTCGTGGAAATATGTGAAAGAAAGATAAGATATTGAAATTTCTTTTGTAATGTATTGTTTTTTCTTTGGTTTTTTTTTGGTAAGTGTTTAAATTGTTGTAAAAGTAATAAATATTATTAAAAAAATAAAATAAAATCCAGAATATAGGTTTTTCAGATTCAGGTAGGTAGCTGTGTTAGTCTGACGCAGTCAAAATATATATATAAAAATGTCCAGTAGCACCTTAGAGACCAACTAAGTTTGCATGCACACAAAAGCTTATACCCAGAAAAACGTAGTTGGTCTCTAAGGTGCTACTGGACAATTTTTTAATTTTTTAAATAGGTTTTTCAGATTAGGGTCCTGCCCTAAAAGTAGGATGCTAGGGATTAATGTCATAGGGAATCTGTGGCCTGTTTCCCCATTAGGGCTAATAGGCATGGCCCTACTAACTACTCTGTCCTCCCCCACCAGCCCAGGGAGTAGCACTGCCTGTCAGTTTTCTCCTTCTTAGTGTCAATGTTGTCCTTGCAGAACTCAGCAGGGAGGAAGATGGGAACAAAACTAGGAATAGTTGGCTCTGACTCCACTTACTGTTGGTCTCCCTGCTTCCCACCCTACCACATTCCACTGAGCACCAGCCACCTCTTCATAGAATTCTTGAACAAGTGCACATATTAATTGGTTGCTGTAGCAAATAAACCATTTTGTTTGTTTGCAACTAAATTGGAGTCAGAAGCATAATAGAAAACCTCTAGTCACGTATCCTACATGCCTTCTGCACTAAGAACTTTTTATCTGTTTGGGGAAACAGTTGCAAAACTAGATGGTTTTTGTTTGCCCATATAGGGACACCTTTAGCATCATAATTTATCTGAAGATGAAGTGCCTAGAACATTCCTGAAACAAGGACTGGCAGTTACTGGTAAAAAGTGTCTTTCTCCAGTCATGAAGGGTTCAGGATGCTTGGTTGTCAATTTGAATAAATGCCATATTTATATTTATTATTATTCCCCCTTCTTTAACTCAATGGGCATAGTTCAGCCAAATTTAAATGCTTCTGTATCCCATTGGTTTCAGTGAGAGATATGTACGCAAACTGCATCCTATGCACATTGAACTGGGGGTAAGTCTCAACAGACACCCATAGGATTCTGTTGTAAATTTTTCCTGCTGTAATAAATGGTTTAGGAGTGTTTAACTTTTAAGAGACAGAATGTAAATCTGAAATGCATTGATATAACTTCCATTTATCCAATCTAAATAATCTGCTGTTTTGTGCAGTCTGGGCACAGCATTAAGCTCACACAGAATGTGTTTTGCTGCTATATTTAGTATTCACACT